GGTTAGATAATTGTATATTATACATATGTATTTGTAAATTCTGGCGAATTATACATATACAAACGTGGCTAATTATACAAACTTGAAGTCAGCCCACGTAATTAATGTATAATATTAGTCGTGAGTGGTAATTATAGCAAACTATAGCTATGATGAGTAATTAAGTAGTATAAGTTTGCTTAATCGCGTAATTTTTCCATGAATGAATTCTTTTACTTATAACATTAACATAAAGGATCTCAATATTTGTCAATATAATGCCAAATTTATTTATTTATTAGGGGGGGGGGGTGTATTTGACCTATATATACAAAAAAAAAAAAATGAAATATGAACTATTTTATTCCAAATTTTAATCTACATTATATATTGCCATCACAAAATTCCGAAAAAGATGAGCTATTAGATATCAAAAACCTAAAATGTGGGCTTTTTATGCCAAATTTTAGGTCATGTTGTGATAACAAAATTCCTATTTTTTCCTAACGTAATTTGATTTTTCTTTCTATCTTTTGTGATGCATCTTGTTTAAAAAAATTTCTTTTACTTATTTTTTCCAATACCTCTTACCCTATATCTTAGGATTCCTCATTAAATATTATAAAAATAATAATAATAATTTGAAGAAAATAATAAATAACGATTTTATCTATTATAAAAATTTTAATGAAGAATTCAATCAACACTTTTGAGGACTTTTATGTTTTGAAGGTAATATAGAGAGATTATAGTTATTCTTTTACCAATTTTTTTTAAAATTTAAACTATTAATTAGTACTATAATTTATAGTACTTTTTGTTGGGATTTATGCAGTTTTGATGATTGACAAAGAAAGACGAAACACGTCAGTCAATATGGTCCAAAGGTGTACTGACACGAGCAGTTAAATTCGAGAAAGCTGTTAGAATGAACAAAGACAAGAGTGCAGAAATAAAGGAATGGATAATGCTAATTTCGTGAGAAAACCCAAGGAAATAAATATCTGATGAATTGAAGAGAAAGAATCAATGAGTTTGATTTGAAGAAGGAGTCTAAAGAGGCAAGGAGTTTTAATTGAAGGAGTCTTACTTAAAGTAGAACTCTTCAAGTTACTGCTGAAATTGAAGTGTTGGAGTTTGACTACAATACAAAAGAATCAATGAATGTAATTTGAAGAAGGAGTTTAAAGAAGCAAGGAGTTTGAATTGAATAATGAGTCTTACTTAAAGTAGAACTCTAAGTCAAGAGAGTTCAAGTCAATGAGGAGTTTGAAGTAAACAATAATTCTATGAAGAATTGAGCTTAAATAGAGGCGAAGTTGTCCAGAATACTTGTGCACTTATAGAGCAAAAAGAGCAATTGAGAAATTGACTTCGGAAGTGCTACAAGCGAACTGAAGA